AATATGTGCAGTCTAGCTGATCTACAATTTATGGCAATCTTGCCAAAGTTTTCCAGGTACAAAGCTCTCGGAAATGGTTTACAAAACCCTCTTTCTGGTGGTTGTCTGGGACGATACAACTTGCCCAAAGGTACACAAGTAGCAGGGCAGATAACCCATCAGCCATACACACTCCAAGGGATCTTGTCTGGCCCCTCTCCTGGGAGGTAAAGTGGAAATTTGAATTTTTAGTTCTGCCTTGGCAGCTAGATGTTCCAACCCACTGAGTTTCATCATCTCAACTGCTTCTAAGTCTCCTGCTAGGTGTCTTGTCTTCCTCTTCTGTTGTTCTTGCTGTTGCGTTCTGTCTAATCATTTCTGATTTACAACAGATCTGTGAAGTAATGATTTCTCAAAGGTCCTATGATTAATAGCCCTACTCAGGTTTTGCAAACTAAAAACCATGGCTTCATTTATGGAGTTAATCCATCTTCGATTAGATCGTCCTCTTTTTTAAAAAAAACCACTGTTTTCCACTTTTCCTAGCAACAGCGTATTTTCCGATTCATCTTGTCCTAACCTGAGTACAATTCTATTCTTAGCACTAATTAATTGACTGTAGGAATTACTGAACTGAAGAAGACATCAAAATGGCCCAATTCTTTCCTAGACAGAAACAAATCTATAGATGAATTCAAAACAAAAATTGTAGACAACTTTTAATAATGACTTATGTTAGGGTTTAGCCCACAGCGCCACCACGTCCTGGGGAACAAATTTTAAAAAACAGATCGCAGTATTTGTAGAAAATCGCTGATCCATTGAATATCCATCCCTTCATATTCATGGGTTCCAGAGACCCCCACAAATACAAGGGGACAAATATTTCCTCCTTTTATTTTTCCCTTCTTAATAAAAAGCCACAACATTCTGCCTACCAGCTGCCGATCAGCTGATCGGCAGGCCAATAAGCAGTCACCCACCCCCACAGCCTGCTCTCCAATCCCATTCCTCTCCCTACCTTAGCCCACCCCACCCCACCCCCACCAATACCCCCTTACCATAATAATCATCGCCACTGCCAAGGTCTCCATCAGGCCTCCGCAGCCATGGCATGTAAAAAGGGAAACTGGCTGCCCTTTGCAAAGATGGTGGCTCCAGCTTCCCTACCCTAAATGAAGCTGCACCAGGGCAGCGGCGGGGGTAGTGGCAGCAGTGTGTGTGTTGCAGGGGGGCAATGGTGGGGGTGGTTTTTTTTGTAACCACTCCACGAATCTATGAATATATGTGTTGCACGGGGGCAGTGGTGGGGGTGGGGTTTTTTGTAACCACTCCACGAATCCATGAATATATTCAGTATTCATTGCTTCATGGGGGCAATTTTGTGCTTGGTGAGTCATCAACTTTTGACAACTCATGAAGCGGTAAGACTCATCAAAATGGTGAGTTGTTCCCATCTTTAATACACATATATGACTATTTGCCCATTTCATGCAGATCTGTCCTCTTTTGATTTCTTTGATGGTGTGCTTTCTCTCATTTTTGGTAATTTATAAATGACCACCCCAGAACAGACTTTGGGTGTGTTCAGATGCCAAAATAGTTCATAATCTGTACAGTTTTTGGAGTGATTCAGTGCAATTCTTTCCTTGGTGATCACAGAATGCACAAAGAAATGAGCTCCAGCCCTGCCCCAATCCAAGCCCAAGCTGGACCTTTTTGGTCCATCTGTAGGGTTTCTAATTTTGGGGGGGGGCAAGCTGGAGCGATATCTGGTAGACAGAAAGGTCACTTTGAGGGAGATGGCTTCCATTAAAGCAACTTTTTCTGTTCCAACCAGGTGCATACCTTTGCAACCATCTGATCACACCCATTGTATAACATTTTCCTACATGGTGACATTTTTAAAGACCTGAATAGAAAAAAAAATTAGAGGATGACTCACTCTATAAACTTCTTTCATTGCCACTGTGTTCTGGAATATAAGGAGAGCCAAACTGCTGCCAGAGAAATGGCAAACTTTGGATTCCTTAAGAATACTGTGACATTTTGTTACACAACTTTTTATAAGTTTTCTGCAGAAGAGTCTATGTGTTAAAATAAGGATATTGTGTCTTATGGAAGCTGTTTACATTTCTTGGAAGCCCTTCTATTTACCCAAGATATGAATGTGTATTATAGCACTCTGTCTTTTAATCAGAGGCATCCCAGATGGAATGTTTTGCAGTGTTTGCTCCAGGTACTGTTTTCTAGCTTCATCTTGTATTAATATTTTAACTATCCCAAAGGTGAGAAGCAGGTCAGATTCCATTAGTCTTTGCTTAGGGCTCAAGTAGTGTAGAGGCAGAAAGCATTACCAGTTAGAAAAGGATAAGCCGGTCAGTGAAACAGTATCCTATATTGGAAAATCTGATGTTTAAAATAGTGTCAGCTTTGAAGTCACAAAAAACTTTTTTTGCAGGCAAGAGGTTACAAGCAACCTTTTTAAAAGCATGTGGCATTGTAGATAACACTAACTTGTTCTGGTTGTTGGTTATTTTTTAAAAATGGATATTTAAACAAAAATAATACTGAACATGGTGGATCTAGCAAGTGCTGGATGAAATCCTCTTGATGTAACTGCACCTCCTGAAGAGTAACAATGTCATCAGCAGGAGCAATTTTCGTAATTAAAAACTTCTTCCTTCTGTCCCTTGGCTTTTCCAACTCCTGCACAATCCTTTTCATTGTGTTGAAGCTGTAGGACCTGTGGGACAGAAATATGAAGTCTTTAATTATGGAAAGTCTACACCAGCAGTAATGTCATCCAGCAGCAATAGCAATTTTCAGTAGTTAAAGACTTCCTCCTTCCATCCTGCTGCTCTCACACCTTGCATGCAACGAAAGAGAGGAAGAGAAAGGACGACATCTCTGCAAAGTATTTCTGTGCCTGTAATCACAACAAAGGGCCCAGTTCATGCTTTTATTCATTCAATATAGACATCCTATCAGGTTTGCCCAGAGCAGGCCACTAGTTTGATACTGAAAAGTAAAACAACACAGAAGTAGAAAACTAGGCTACCAGCAAATAAGCTAGCCTAGAACATTTCAGTCAGAGCTCTATTTTATTTCATTTAAAATGTGCACGTCATGTATGTTTTTAATTGGGAAATATTCAGATTTCTCCACATTAAACTATGCTGTCAGCCATGCCAGGTTTCTGCCACATCATCCCATTGTTTAATTTGGCTAAAGCACCAAATGTGGTGTTGAATGCCTCCAATATTTTTCATTTTTCTATTAAAAATATTAATATTTGTAGCAAATGCAAAATCAGCTAGCTTAATGTCTGTTGGACACTCTTTATCAAGTTCAGGGTGAATGGCTGGCTCCCTTGAAATGTTTTTGGACTACAAATCCCAGAAATCCTCACAGGCAAGAGCTGAGGAGAGTTTTAGTCAAAAAAAAACAAACCTACAGCTAGAAGGACTCAGCTGTCCTTTAAAACAAAACAAAACAAAACAAAACACCCTACAGCTAGAAGGACTCAGCTGTCCTTCCCCCAATGATATTTTCCTAGCTCTCATATTCTCCACACCATCAGTAGAAGAATCATTCAAATAAACCCAAGGCATATATGTATATATATATAAAATATACAGAAAGTCAACAATATATCTCCATTCTTCAACTGTTGACTTTCTGTATATTTTAAACCAAATGTAGTTACCTACTATGAAATAGATTTCTCTGCTTCAGCTTAAATTATGTGCACTACTGCTCATCAAGGTTGCCAGTTCTTTCCTAGCAGGCCAAGATGAAGCTTCAAAGATGTAGTTTAAATATTTACCCACATATATTCAACACATTCTTTCGTGTAATATATGATGTAATTTTTCCCCTTGTAAAGAGTTGTTCTTTAGAAGAGTTCCTGGCTATTATGGGGTTGTCCAGAGTTTATGGTATGAATGTAGGAGATCTGGGGCAGATGCGACATTGCCCACTACAATGATCCGTGGGGGGTTGTGATGAGTAGTATGGCAGCATTTGATAGTGGGGTATTAAGCAAGATACTAAGAAATTCTTGGATTGAGAGGCAGTAAGAAATAAAATCAAAAGGAATGATGAGGAAATAGTAATTACCAAAAAAGAGGAAGAAGAAAAAGTCAAATGCATAACATACAGAAAGCTCGACCACTTTGGTCTTTTAGTGAGAAACAAAACAGGCAGGTTGCCACAACTGATTATTCAAGGTCAAATAAATTGGAAAAGAAGCACAAGAAGGAGAAGAATGTATTGTTTGGATGTAACACAAACTCATATTTTAAAGATGCTGTATCCAATGTCAGAATAGCCAGAATGACATCCACCTCTTGGAAGGAGAGAAGTTAAAAGAAGAATCCTACTATAAACATTAGCCATTTATGATTGCAATTTGTAACAAGTTTCAAGGTACCTTTGAATGGAAGCTTCCTGGTTTGGTGGTTTACTAATAAACCATGAAAATGGTAAGCACTGCTGTTGAATCAAGATTTGAAGGTTTTCCAGGACTCATCATTTAGATTGGCACCTGAAAATATTTTAACATCTTGTTCAGTTTTCTAGTGCCCAGGCCAGCTGCTTGAGTTGGCATGACAAATGACTATATTGGGCTGAATTGTTCAGAGCATATACAGCCTTTAGCAGTTATGCATACATTCAGAAACTGCCTCCATGCACGATACTGGGATGACATGAAATACTCCCTTTCACTAGTAGCACATGGCACCACATAGACCCACAACCCTCAGGAGCTTGAGCAATGATAATGATGATGATGCAGCTGATGCCTGTCCATAGCCTGAGAGAGAGAGAGTTTGCCAACTCACATTATCATGTAAATTAAATGATTATGGCATAGTCCTGACTACTGCTACCGTCTCATTCCATCACTAACATTATAAACTCCGTGGGTTGAGAAGTCCTTCCATGTTTTCTCTATGATTAAATACAATATAGTCTTTCTTTCAATGAACTACTTGTCACTGTTCTCTTTGTTTTAGATTGGAGCATCCCTAATGTCAAGCAATGTGGGGAGTGGCTTATTTATCGGCCTGGCAGGGACAGGAGCGGCAGGAGGCCTTGCGGTTGGGGGCTTCGAGTGGAATGTAAGACGCCCTTCATGAATTCAACATCTTTCCAACAAGGAATCTTTTGGCTTAGATTGAGTCAAGTGACATGGAATCCTCAGATGCCTGGGTTTTGGTGCAACTCTAATATAAGTTTAAAATGCATATTTGGCTTAAGTAGAATACAGTGGTGCCTTGCTAGATGATGATAATCCATTCCACTGAAATCGCTGTTTAGCAAAATCATTGCTTAGCGAAAAGCATTCCCCATTGGAATGCATTGAAACCTGTTTAATGCGTTCCAATGGGGAAGAATCGTCGTTGTCTAGTGAAGATCAGCCATAGGAAAGCCGCTTTGTGAACTGCCAATCAGCTGTTTAAATCACTGTCTTGCGAAGCTTAGGTCCTGAAGACACCTGTTTTGCGAGCTTGGAGGAAGCTGTCAAAATCGTCATCTAGCGAAAATCGGTTTGCGAAGTAGGGACCAAACATTGTCCAGTGAAATTCCCCCCTAGGAATCACTGTTTTGCGAATCGCTATAGCGATCGCAAAAAGTCAACGTCTAGCGAAAAAACTGTCATGCGGGGTAGCTGTCTAGTGAGGCACCACTGTAACTGCAAGACTTGTGGCACATTGCAGTGTAAATAAACAATTGTTTTGGGTAGCATTTGCTCTTAAGATCAATTATCTTATTCAAAAAAACAAATCTGAACTTCTTCCACCCCCTTTTGCTTTCAACCTTTGATTTAGAAACAGCTGGAATGAATTTTGGGAGGTATTACAAATTCATTTGCATCCGAACATGTTAAATGCATATTTTGATTTCTACATCTTTGGACTATTATTGTCAACAAACTGAAAGGGTGCTTTCTGACTGTTTAATAAGGTGCCAGGTGGCCTCATCTAGAGGGTATTAGAGCACATTGGCTTCAGAATTAAAATAGACACTAAAATCAAAATTGCTAATGGCACTAGTATATCCCCATATGTGGAGCTGTCTTCAAACACATTTTGATTCATTAACAAAAGGTGTTGGAAACAGAAGTCTGCTCTGAAGGTGGTGGACGCTCCTTCATTGGAGGTTTTCAAACAGACGCAGGGCCATCTAACACAGATGCTTGAAACGTGGATTTTCTGTATCAGTCAGGGGATGGAGTAAATGGCTCTTCGCATACCTTCCCATTCTATAGTTCTACGATACTGTGATTAACACACCCCTGCCAATAAAAAATAAATAATATAAAATGTTTAAGATCTTTCAAATTAATCTCCTCTGAAAGACAACATAGTTTTAAATGACAGGAAACACTTTTTTTAAAAAAAAGTCAAAAGCCTTTTATTATAATGACTATATAAGCTTTGTAGTAGCTGAGAGGGAATATGGTCTCACCTTCTATCCATTTCAGAAATGAACAAGAGAACTGTGAGCAACCCAGCAAATTTCTTTCAGAATTCAAAATAAAATTCAGTTTCCTACTAAAAAAATGAAAAGTGAATTCTCCTTAAACTGGCATTTTTTAAAAAAAGTTGAACATGAAACAAATGACAAATTCAGGTCAAATTACATTTTCCCAGCCAGCCTACTAGTCCCATTTCAGTTATATTTTTCAGCCTTTACTTTTGTAGTAGTTCAAGTGAAGCCAAAGGGCAGCTTTCTCTGCTAGCCTTATTTGTAGAGCATTTTTTGAGTAGACGGTGTTGCTTTGGGGCAATACTTCACTTATGAGCACAAATTGTTTCACGCTGGGTCATCGCAAATCATCAATGTGGCACTCCAGGTACCACATGTTCCCTCCCCCCCCCACACACCGGCCAGCTCCCTCACTGACCAGCCGATGCACAATGTTCATCTCCTCATCACATGACTGTCCTAGCTGTGCAGAAATGAATACTTCCCTCCTCCACCTCCTCTGGCAGCCACCCACTCACAAGAATCCCTTCCCTTCCCTGCCTCCTCATCTGAGTGGGCAGCTGCCAGAGGAGACAGAGGAGGGAGGCACATAATCCTGCTGCAACTGGACAGTCATGTGACAAAGGGGAGACAAGCAGTGCATGCCGGCTGGTGAGTGGGGGAGCCATCCAGGGTGTGTGGAAAGGAAACACACAGCACCAATGGTGCCGCAGTGACAACATGCAACAACTTGGCCCAAAGCAATTCATGCCCATCTCTCCTCATAGTCCAATCCTGCAAAGAGACTGGGGATTTATGAACTTCTCAGCTGCCACACAAAAAGCTCAGGTGTCTCAGATGAATGATTTCTGATGGTGCTAAAGGTCACACATGATGCTAAAGTGCTCTCTTTGGTAGGATGATAGTGAAGCAGAACTGGATTCTAGTACTTAAAAGTCAATGAATGAAAAAGAGGTCTCTCAAATCCTATGGTATTTTGAGAGATAAGCAAGGTTTACATTCAACCAACTCCATCTCATTGCTTGGGTTGAACTGTACTAATGCAAGTAACAATGTACCTTATTTTAAAAGGGCTGTTCACAAACCATTTTGCTGCCTAAAGTGGAGCATTCATGGTACCCAGGCCCAGCCAAGTAATTTTGGAAGCTGAGAAGGACAATTCCATAACTACCACTTTTCATCTAACTGGGATTATAAATGCAATAATAAACCTAGAACTTCTAGTTGTTGCTTCTTTGTCATATGCCAGATCAGCTGTTTGGTGTAGTTGCTTCACTCTATCTAATGGTGGGTCTGGCCCTGTTAAATCTTAATCCTCTACCTGGCAAGTAAGATAAAGGTTGTTGACTTGGCCCATCTGCCAGGAACCTTCACCTCTTTGTCACCCTTGTCTAATGTCTATTTAGGCCAGTTTCGGGATAGTTGCAAGGCAGTCAGGTTTTCAAAATACTCATATTTCCCAGCAAAGTCTAACTATCCTTTTAGGACTACTGAGGCAGGAGTCTGATGAAGTGTCCATTGACGCAGTATGATTTGTGTCAGTTCCTCCAGCGCTGGAGAAAAACCAACACTAGATAGAGTACAGCCACACTGCTCTATCCTGTGGCCTGCTTGCCTTAGTACAATGGTTCAAAGAATCAGAGTCTGCATTCTGATCTTGAACCTAGGGCAGCCTTTTGTTAAGGGACATACTAACTGCACAATTCTCCCTATTTCATGTGTGGGCATGAGCTGCTCCAAATCTGGAAAGCTTCTTGTTCCCAGGATCTGCTTCCAACAATCTGTGGACAAGACTTTTGTGACCTAGTGGTTCCTCTTCACCCTTTGAGAGGGAATGAGCTAAGATTGTGACTAGAGATGAGCACGAACTGAACTATGATCAGGAAAAAAAAACCCATGAACTGGGCTGGTTTGTGGCTCAGTTTGTAGTTCAGTTCAGGGATCCTGTTTTGCCAAAATGAAATGGAGCACCAAACTTTCAGCCAATAGATGGCAGTGGCAGAGGACAAAGAGGAGGAAGCAGCAAGACCTGGTAGGGAGGCAACTGGGGCAGTGGTAGTAACCAGTGCCCATCCATGTCTTCATATACAAGTGATGCTTGACATCATGCTTTTGTGTGTGTGTATGCAAGTGAATATAATATTTTAAACTCAAGTACCCAAGGGTCCACCCAGGATGACACCTTGCCCTGCCATTTCAGAATAAAGCACCCCTTTTGATTGGACACCATGCGACCCCAGATTTCAAAAGTTTGAATAGTTTCACTTTAGCCTTAGACTTTATATGGAATCAGTCTTACTATTATGGATCCTATGTGGGACCAGTCACACCATTACAGAAGCAGCTGAGAGAGACAGTTTCCTCAAGTAGCAGACACTTTCAGTTATGGTGAAAACAGAGCTCTATGTGTGCCATGTAATTTGCCTAGTATCCAGTAAATTATCTGACTGCCTAAGATATAGTGGAGGATTCCTTCCAGTCATCAGAGTTGTAAACTGTAGGGTCAAACTAGATATGAAGAGGTAACTTATATTCCCAATTATTAATGCATTTTCCTAGTTTGCCTCTTTATTCGGTATGTACTTTGTGTGCGTGTTTTTACTATTTGGGGGAAGGGACACAAGTTTAAGTTATGTAGCTTAATTTTGCACAAGGAATTGTTCTTGTAAATGCAACAAGTAAATCAAAAGTGCCTGGATGTTCCTCATATACTCCGCTGTGGCAAGGATAAAATGACTCTGTTTCTCATTTTGCCTGAGAGGCTAAGAGAAGCAAAGAGGTATATCCAGAAGTGGGAGCATTTGAGGGGGGGTAGTGGTAAATGTGTTGTGTGGTTTGACCCTGAGCTGCCAATCCAGGCAGGTCCTGAATATGGAATATGTGGGGATATCAGTATATTCTTTGACTCAGGCAGCAAAATGTCTTGTGCCAATTGTATACTGAATCCTGCAAGCCCTATAAAGTGATGGAGGCAGTGTGGCTGAAGCAAGAGGTCTTGCTAAGTCAGCCATTTTGTTTTGTTCTCAGGTCTTTTATTGTCCACAAGAAGGTGCTTCCACCTTTCCCATTTATCACTGTTCTTCATCACTGCCCAAATATGACCTTCTTTTTACATAAAACTGCATTTGGCTTCTAGTTCAACAGAGATACCAGCACTTTATCCTCATAATTTTTTGCGTTGCATACTGTTTGCATAGATCTGAGTCTTTTTCTATATTTCTAATAATAACTATATTATTATTCTCTGTTAGGCCACCTGGGCATTGCTTGTCCTCGGCTGGATTTTTGTGCCTGTGTACATCTCTTCAGGAGTGGTCACCATGCCAGAATATCTGAAGAAAAGATTTGGAGGGCAAAGGATTCAAATCTACCTCTCTGTACTTTCCCTTATTCTTTATATATTCACTAAAATCTCGGTATGTATCCCAAGGAAATGCAATAATAAGTACCTGAGTACAGCTTTCAGAGACAGAGAATGGAACATTGGTTTGGACCCTTAGCAAAATATTCTGTAGATAGGTCCTCTTTTCTGTCACTGGGTGCTGCAGGGCTAATATAACAGAAAGATGAGTTTTCGCTAACTTTTTGACACTCTTGTAATGTGCAGTGGGTACTTTTCCTCCAGGGTCTTGAGAGAAATGTAAATGCAGCTAAACTAAGTAGACCAACTTTGCAGTCCTGTGCAACTCAGAGCACCCAGCCAGTCAGATATGAAGGTGGTGCACCTCTATGGGCTGAAGGGTGGGAGTGAGAGCTTCAAATCCTCAACACACCTCCCAGTTGAAATCACCCAGAGTGATAAAGCTGTGTGTGGGTGCATGCATGCAAAGTCCCTTTAAGATTAGCTTACTCTGTGTTATGGGGTTTGCTGCTTTTCTTTGCCTTCTCAAACATGCCACTGTGTGTCTTTTTGCATTTGTTCTAGACAGATATTTTCTCTGGTGCCCTTTTTATCCAAGTCTCCTTGGGCTGGAACCTTTACCTCTCTACAGTGATCTTGTTAGTAGTAACAGCTGTCTACACTATAGCTGGTAACTATTCCCATTCCCATTAATTCATTTATTCATTCCATTGATATTCTACCTTTCTGCCAAAAACAGTACTCAAGTCAGTTAACAATATTACATTTAAAATGTGAAGAAAATACAATAGCAAAAATAAAAAATGAATGTGTCAGAAACACAATTAAACACCCAATTAAAAGCTACAAAAGCAGCACTCAATTAGTTAACCCCTCCCCACTTTAGTTGCACCTAGTATAAAGGCTTGCATGGATAAATCTGTATTACTTTCATTCATTCATGAAGAATATTTTTATTTTGCTCTATGCCATGTGTTCTCCAGGTTGGACATAACAAAAGCAGTTTAATATGTTTAGGTGGCGAGAGGGACGTGGTGGCGCTGCGGGCTAAACTGCAGAAGCCTGTGCTGCAGGGTCAGAAGACCAAGCAGTCCTAAGATCGAATCCATGCGACGGAGTGAGCGCCCGTCGCTTGTCCCAGCTCCCGCCACCCTAGCGGTTCGAAAGCATGCAAATGCGAGTAGATTAACAGGGACCACCTCGGTGGGAAGGTAACAGCATTCCGTGTCGAAGTCGCACTGGCCATGTGACCACGGAAGATTGTCTTCGGACAAAAACGCTGGCTCTATGGCTTGGAAACGGGGATGAGCACCGCCCCCTAGAGTCGAACACGACTGGACAAAAAATGTCAAGGGGAACCTTTACCTTTACCTTACCATTTAAAACTTAAACACCAAAATATCTGGTGAACCTCCCATCTGGTGAACGTCTAGAATGAAATTGACACTGGTGCCAATGGGACAAAAGGAAGACATTAGACAATCTGGACAGTTTACAGTTTAATTATGCAAGCTACACATTGCACTCCCGCCCCCCACAAGGTGGGTACTCAATTTACTGACTCAGCCTTGAGTTGGCTACCTGAGTTTAGGACTGAACTCAGATCATGAATAGAGTCTTAGCTGCAGTTCTGCAGTTTAACCTCTGTGCCACAAGGCTTGAAATAACTTTTTTCTGAAAGGCAATAATGAGTGACAGTCTACCATGCTACCAAGATATTCCTGTACCTGGTCATTGAGATACAATTACTTGTGGCAAGTTTTGCAAATTTTATGCCAACACCATTAGGATTCTGGTTGTTAAATTTTAAAACTGATCACTGGGTGAGGGACACTGATCACTAACATTGAATCAGTTCCTTGTTATCTTTCCTACAGGGGGTCTAACTGCAGTGATCTACACAGATGCTTTGCAGACAGCGATCATGGTGATTGGAGCTTTGGTTCTTATGTTTATAGGTAAGGGGGAATTCTGTACATTACTGCTTTTAGCTGACAAAAAGATCCATCTTAAGGAACACCCCACAAACCAGTTGGCTCAATGGCATGTGTTCCAATAGAATAACTTCTGTGTCAACCACCAGTTCTTATGAGGCAAGGGATATGGGCTTGTCTTCAATCATATCTCCACTGTAGTTCATGGGGCCTTACAAGAGTCAGAAAACTACGTCTCTCAGAATCCTTCAATCAACATCACCACTGTTGGGGGATTCTGGAAGTTGTCCAAAACTACCTCTTCTAAGCACTGGCCTTTATGCAATACATTAAAATTGATATATTTTGAAAATACATGAAGAATATGTAATATATTAAAAATGAATGCCTCCTGCCAAGACAAAATAGACAAAAAGTCCTTAGCATGCTTCTAACGTGGGACACTGCTCTTCTGGGGTGGGGGGACTCACCAGATCAGAGTATTGGGCCAAGGAAAATCAGAGACATCCTCAGCAAAGCACTCAAAACATTCTGACTTAGGTTAAAAAAAATGCCAGAATCACATCTCTCCAACACTAAAGTACTTTGCGCTCTAATAATGGGTTATCTTTAATGTCTGTTTCTGCCTGGAAGAAATGAATTTCTAGCTCAGTTATTCTATGATTCTGTGGTTGTTGACTGTTTCTTTTTTAGGCTTTGATAAAGTTGGGTGGTATGAAGGCCTGCAAGAGAAATATAGTAAAGCAGTACCCAGTGTCATTGTCCCAAATACTACCTGTCATTTGCCACGGCAAGATGCTTTCCACATGATAAGAGATCCTGTCTCTGGGGATATTCCATGGCCTGGGCTTGTATTTGGCCTTTCAGTGCTTGCTCTTTGGTGCTGGTGCACAGATCAGGTGACGTAAACCTTAACTGTTGTTCTTTGGGCTTCATTTGTCTTTTCTTGCAGAATATTAGATAGATTTTACATCCTCCACACAAGGTGTTAAAAAGTGAATCCTGCAGAGTTACACATATGGAAAATTTATACTGGGAATTGAAAAGCCATAGGATTGTTCCATAACTATACATGAGCAAGATGTAGGGGTTCCTTTTGCTTCTATTTACCATCCATTTTGGATTACACAAATTTTACACATGGTAGCAAAGAGGATTCAGTGGCAGACGTAATACCAGCTGCTGTGAGAAAAGCAGTGGAAAGCAAAACGTTTGCCTTCAGGAACCAGCAGAGTATTCCTAAATCTTCTGTGATTCTGGGTATTAAAAGGAAAAGACGCTTTCTATGTAGCTAGTCCAGTTAGCTAGTCATGAATTGCTTGCCGCATTTACATTTCACAAATGATAATATGTCAGTGGACGTAAATGATAAATACAAAGTTTACAGTTAGCTTAAACCTGTATTAACTTTAAAATAATCTATTTAACTGAATTAGGCATACACAGAATGTTTATATCTATATGTTTTTCATATTGGTTAGGCACGAGAACGTTATTCCTTGGGTTCTCAGATACCTAATCCATCACCCGACTCAGTTGAAGCTAACATAGCTCTGAACAGCTTGGTTCATTGTATGCATGCACTAAACAGCACAGTTTCATTAGAGCTGGTTCTCCTTTCAGGTCATTGTGCAAAGGTCACTTTCAGCAAAGAACCTCTCTCATGCGAAAGGTGGATCAGTACTGGGTGGATATTTGAAAATTTTCCCCATGTTTTTCATTGTAATGCCAGGCATGATCAGCAGAGCTCTCTTCCCAGGTAACATACCTCTGGCCCTAAGCACCTTCCAAGTGCAGGCAGGTAGTAGGGTGGCCACTTGAACATGTCTCCAAAAAAGGAGAACATGCATCAACAAATAGGAGACAACTCTTCAAAAGAGGACTGTCCTCCCTAAAGACCACCCTACTGCCTGATGGTATCGATGGTAGTGTTTCCTACAGTTAATGTTGCTTTTCTTTACTTATCTGCTACAGACGAAGTCGGCTGTGTAGACCCAAAAATCTGCGAGAAAATCTGTGGAGCTAAAGTCGGTTGTTCAAACATTGCTTACCCAAAATTGGTCATGGAACTGATGCCTGTAGGTGAGAGAGATGACATCATTCACCTTCACAAAGACGAGGTCTCTACTAGTAGTAGTTTGGTGATGAAAAATAACAGAATGCTCTTTCTCGGTTTTTTAGGACTCCGTGGTTTGATGATTGCTGTAATGATGGCTGCCTTGATGAGCTCGCTTACATCTATCTTTAATAGCAGCAGCACCCTCTTCGCCATAGATATCTGGCAGCGACTCCGCAAGAAGGCCACTGAGCAGGAGCTCGTGATTGTTGGAAGGTCCTCCTTTCATCTCTATGTTTGTTTGTTTTTCTCTTATAGGAGGCATTTCTGTGGTGACTCACTACAATTTAGCTTTTACATGCTGCTTAGTGCCCTGAGCTGTGTACATTATGTGCTGGTGTAGCTGGTTCAGTTTATGCTTCTAAAGAGGCTTCCTGTACTCAAGTGCCAGCATTCCTTTACTGAGAC